CACGTAATCACGAACAAAGTTAGCGTTCATGTTTGTTTGTGTGTGGAAAATGCAAAAAAATAAATTGAACGCTAGTTTTGGCCAGTGTTTGTGACTAAGTGGCTACTAGAAAAGACTGGACATACCCCATTTGCAATACCTTGGGTTGTTTACTTTTGCAAATGGTATGCCATCATGGGGGTAATTCTCATTCCTGGGATACTATACGGTCTCAAAGGCAACATAACCAATCTGGCAAATTTCAATGTGAAAAAAATAAAATTCAAGCCTTATATTTGACTCAGTAACTTTTAAAAACCCCATAAAACCTGTACATGGGGGGTACTGTTATACTCGGGAGACTTCGCCAAACACAAATATTAGTGTTTCAAAATAGTAAAACGTATCACAACAATTATATCGTCAGTGAAAGTACCGTTTGTGTGTGAAAAATGCAAAAAAGTGATTTTTGTTTTTTTATAGGACACAATTGAGAAAGTCTACATGCCTATTATATGCTGGCTTGTTTAAAATGCTTGAGGAATTTTCAGCAATTTCTTCAGATCACAAATTGTTACCATTATACAGCACTCAACATATTCTGCAGAAATGTAAAATTATACAGTGGGGCTATAATAACAAGTAACTGATCTACAATATAAAATTGACAGAGGTGAAGAGGGCCTTGTTGTCCATTACTTACCCCATTGTAGTGTGACACAGCAAATACCCTTATTATTGTCTACTGCTCTACTTTGAGGGGAGGGATAGCTGTGTTGGCTTGTTTATGGTTAAGGGTTAGGAGACGTTTAGGGTAGAAGAGGAGTTAGAATTTGCAGTCTACTAACCTTAATAATAATTTATGCTCTGAATTGTCTTACGATGATATTTATTTGGCATCTGTTAAAATAAATACCCCTTAAAATGCCTGATGCACAAATTAATGCCTAATACATGATTTGATATTTATTGATAAACTTTTAAAAGGATTTTCTTTTACCAAAATATTAAGTTTATCCTAAAATAATAAATCGAGGCCATGATTGAATAGAACAACCCACCCACATACATTTTACTTGTGGAGGATTAAAAGGATTAAACTAATCACATAATTATACATAAATATATTGTGGATTATAGCAATGAGTTAATACGATTGTTGGCAGCCTCTGTCACCCAAGTCTATATCATACAAGGTGGTGTGTACCAGATATTCAATGCAAAGAAATTTTCCCACAATACTCATTCTCCTCCGTGTTCTCACGTTGCTTCATTCACCGTCCAAACGTCCTGCCATTTAGATTAGGGCGCTGGCGAATTCACCGAATTTCAGCCTAACAAAATGAGGACAGTTTGTCCTTTCCTGTTAGGGCATAAATCTGGCATATTTTTCGGTTCAGAATTTCATTCGAGGAATTAATTTCCAATCTGTGCAACAGCTACATCTTGCAGCATCTTAATATATAGCCCCCTAATTCCCACAGTAAGCTATCTACGAAAAAACTAAAAGACCAAAATTGGTCTTTCAGCCAACTTTACCCCCCTTTGTCACTTAAGGCCCCCACCCACCACTCATGGGTGGGAGCCAAGGGGGAAGCAGTAGGTTTTCACAACCTTTTGTCACTTAGATTCCCCTGTTTAGTTGAATAGCCAGCACTCGTGGGGCATGGGTGGGGGCTGAGGGAGGACACTATGTCTCCACCCATTTATTGTTTTAATAGCTGCCCTGGTATGGGGAACATGTGCTAGCTCCCCCTTTATTACAAAAGTGAGCAGCCACTGACTGCCTACTGTTTGCTATACATGCCCCCTACTCGCTATAACTCACTTATACTTATATGGGAGTTATTTGACCCCCAAAGAATACTGGGGGGCATGGTGGGTTTTAGGAAGTGGCAGTGAGTAAGCAGGCAGTTCCCTCCTTGTAATGAACAAATGAACGAAGACTGAATTGTAATTTATATTCGTTCATTCATCTTTCTGTCATCTCTTGCCATATGTACCTACTCAATATATACTGAGGAGAAATTGTTATTTATAATTTCTGCCTTTGCTTGGACTTCATTAACTAACTAACTAACTAACTGTTTTTGCTCTATTTGGATACCATCGTCATCTCATTTTTTAGTTTAGCTAAACTATTTGCCTTTTTTCATGCATTATTGGCTTCCTTATATCTTACATAGAATGCCTCTGATTTGTCTGATTTAAATGTGTCAAATGCTCTTTTCTTATTTTTAATTTCTCGGTTTACTTTCCCTCCAAGTCACAATGGTTTTAATTTCTTTCTTTTATTTTTATTACCCAATGATACATACTGAGATGTGTACCTTTCTAATATCTGTTTGAAGATATTCATCTTTAGTGAAAAAACACTGAAGAGTTTATGCCAGTCGATATGTTGTAGAGCTGCCTCTATCTCACTGAAATTGTATTTTAGTATACCCCATGTGCATTTGCTTTTTTGAGTTTATTTCAAAAGACACAATTTTCTTATAACTATTTCAGAAGTTCTCCCCTACTTGAATGTTGGTCAAATGATCAACATTGTTTGTACTTGGACCCATTCTCTTTAATATTTTTATTAGTGATATTGCAGAAGGTCTTGATGGTAAGGTATGTCTTTTTGCTGATGATACTAAGATATGTAACAGGGTTGATGTTCCAGGAGGGATAAGCCAAATGACAAATGATTTAGGCAAACTAGAAAAATGGTCAGAATTGTGGCAACTGACATTTAATGTGGATAAGTGCAAGATAATGCATCTTTGACGTAAAAACCCAAGGGCAGAGTACAGAATATTTGATAGAGTCCTAACCTCAACAATTGAGGAAAGGGATTTAGGGGTGATTATTTCTGATGACTTAAAGGTAGGCAGACAATGTAATAGAGCAGTAGGAAATGCTAGCAGAATGCTTGGTTGTATAGGGAGAGGTATTAGCAGTAGAAAGAGGGAAGTGCTCATGCCATTGTACAGAACACTGGTGAGACCTCACTTGGAGTATTGTACACAGTACTGAGACCGTATCTTCAGAAGGATATTGATACCTTAGAGAGGGTTCAGAGAAGGGCTACTAAACTGGTTCATGGATTGCGGGATAAAACTTACCAGGAAAGGTTAAAGGATCTTAACATGTATAGCTTGAGGAAAGACGAGACAGGGGGGATATGATAGAAACATTTAAATATATAAAGGGAATCAACACAGTAAAGGAGGAGACTATATTTAAAAGAAGAAAAACTACCACAACAAGAGGACATAGTCTTAAATTAGAGGGGCAAAGGTTTAAAAATAATATCAGAAAGTATTACTTTACTGAGAGGGTAGTGGATGCATGGAATAGCCTTCCAGCTGAAGTGGTAGAGGTTAACATAGTAAAGGAGTTTAAGCATGTGTGGGATAGGCATAAGGCTATCCTAACTATAAGATAAGACTAGGGACTAATGAAAGTATTTAGAAAATTGGGCAGACTAGATGGGCCGAATGGTTCTTATCTGCCGTCACATTCTATGTTTCTATGTTATAACCAGATCTAGAAAAGCGACCTTTCTAGTTGGTACTTTTATCAGGTTCAAAAACTTTGCTGAATTCGCTTTGCTGAACTACCAGTCCCTCTGTCCCAATTTATATCCGGTTAATTAAAATCTCCAATAATTAACGTGTTACCCATATTTTCTCTAATAGTTGTTCTTCCTTGTCAATATTAATATTAGGTGTTTTTTTTAACATATCCCAACCAATAATTGACATTTGAATTCCTGACACTATAGAGTTCCTTTAATTGGTTTCAAAGCCAGGCCAACGCTTATGTCTGCTAAAGCTACTGCTGAAGTAAGCTTGTTTTCAATTCTCTGTAAGTACAAAATATGTGTAGCAGAGCAATTTGTTAATTTTAGCAACTGTGTATGCACTTATGAGCACAGTTATTAAATTATTTTTATTTGCCTTTTGACTGTTTTGTTGTAACAGTATATTACAGTTGTGTAAATTAACTCATATTTAATCTTATTCAGATTTTGTGCTATGTATATATTTGAATTTTATTAATAGTTTGATTGCTTTTGTGCGCATCCACTATATCGTTTATGGTTGGTTTTGTTTCTCTGTAAGCCTTCAACCGGTCTAGAGAGTAAAAAGGGTCTATGGATCAGGGAGGATAGGTTTATCTAAGGCTTAAGATAGCCATGATGCCACCTGTGTCTAGTATGGTCATAGGCAGGGCAATTCCATCATTGGTGGTAGTATGTCCCAGCCTGGCCGCAGTAGTAATGTAGTGACTTGCATTTGGTGTAAGCGTACAAGCATAAGGTACAATCTGAAGAGGGTTTTATGCCAAATGGAGAGTTTGGCGTTAACTTTTCAGGTATATTGCCACCGGGCCATGAAGTTAAAAGGCGTTTTTAGGAGAAAGCCCAGTTATCCCGATAAGTATGGGAAATAGACCCTTAGGTGATTGATTGATTACCATGTGGGTAATTTATTAAGGACTATTGAAAAAAAGGTTTTAATTGCAAGCATTAAGAAGAAGCCTTTACAAGTAAGAGTGGCATTGACCTTCAGTTATCAGATCCGATACGCGTGATATGTACAGATGGTCCTAATTATAAAAGTCTTGTGGTTGCATTCTGGGTCGTAATAAGGGGTTTCGGTAGAGAGACATAAGTGGAGAGAAGTCTAATGTAAAAACTTTAGTGAGTATAGGAGAGGAGGGCACTGGGGAAGTATCTGGTAGCATGATGTCGTTATCAATATCAACCCATCTCTTGAGGAGAATTGGAGGTGCCAATCAACAATTTGAGGTAATTTTTCAGATGAAGAGGCACTATTGATTTTTTGAAGTGGAAATTTATTTTCTTTGTGTGAATTCATGTCATAAAATATCTCCTTTCTATAAATGATAATAAAGTACTGGCTTTTGCTGCCCCTGACTGACATTGCGCACTATCAACCACTGTTTCAAAAATTACGGTACTCTATACATTTAAGGCCTGATAGCTTCAAATAAACTTCATTCTGATGAGTAATAGAATTTCACTCAGATAATACAACATACGTGATAATTATGCTTGGTTGGTGTTTGGTCACTAAATATTTCTCTCTGTTTCTTTTTTTATAGCATCTGACTTGAAGGCTTATGTACTTGGACTTTCCATCTTCAGTTTAACAGAGGACTTTATGTCCCTTTTCATCATTGTATTAGCTTACATTTTGTCAAGAGGTACATGTGTTTTCATTATATCATGAATCATGTTAACATGAAATAGCTTATATTTATCAGTGGCCACTGGCGAAATTTCAAGATGCTGGAGTACCAAACTCAACCAATTGAATTTTAACCCACCCCCTCTTTCTGGAAACCCTACATCCTGATCTTTTGGACTGATATTTCTACAAACTAAGTTCTAATGTTGCTATACGCTCCATTCAGTGTGTATGTCTCATTTAATATCGAATACTGTCACAGAGTATCTGGAAGGGTAGTGGAGGGAAGATATTAAAGTCTTAGAATCCTTCATAGTCTCTAGCCACTCAATTCTTGTTAGTTAATTAATTGGCAGCAGGTAAATTCTCAGGCTCCTGACTCAAAACAAAATTAAATACTACCTACTAGCAAGCTAGCCTTGTAGTGGTTTAAATTTTCCGTTCAGCCACAGTAGGGGAAAGTCGGCAGTGGCTTTCTGTTTTCTGAAGGACCCCGGACTAGAGACCTTACTGATTAAGGAAATCTGGGAGGGAAGATTTGGGAATTGGGACGTGGAAAGTGAAAATGGACACCAAGGATGGTGCTGAAAATGTGTAATGGGGGAATAGGGACCTGGAAGTGTAATGGTTGGATGGGAAGCTGTAAGGGGGAAAGGAGACAGGATTTCTAATGGGTGTAAAGGGAACTTAGGAGTGGAGCTAGCAAAAGTCTGTTTATGCATATTCTTAATGGCTTTTTATTCACGGAAATAACTCTTTTTTTCTGTTGCTTTCAGGAACTCAATCCACTGGGCAGTTCAACCCAAACATACAATCGAGAGAAGTAACTGACAACAAAAAAGGTAGTTCTTTTTTTCCCAGTAACTGAACAAAAATCTTCAAATTAATTTTAGATAGTCCAATAGGGCCAGCAGTGAAGTATGCAGAAATAGAGGTGTTGTCCTGGTTTTAGGATTGTAGAGTCCATCAAAAACTTCACCAGTGGCCACTGAAATTAGATCACTTATTGGCCTCCTTCCCAACAAGTTGACCGTTGAGCCTAAAGCAAACAATGGTTGTGTGGGTCTGGTCCCTTTAACTCTCCCTCTCCTCCTCCTTGTGTGTTTATCTTATCAATGCAAATCTACAATAATCGATTGTATATATATATTATTTATTTCTCCAATTATTTTAATTTCAGCTGTATGATTATGCTATTTATACTTTATTCTATATAACATAGGTTATCTTGCCAAAGTGAAGAAGGGATGCTTTTTCACCTATCTGCTGAGCACTGACATAAACATTCTTGTTGTCCTTGCGATATTGATCATCTGGATCACAGAAGGTAAGATTAACATACAAATTAAAATTTAACACCTTAATGATTTTAATTTCAAATGCATTTCAATGGCATTCCTGGCACAATAAGCACTACAGTTTATTGTAGTTTTTATGGTGCAAACCTTTTTTGTGTTATTTGATCAAATCCAGAACACCCAAAACATACCCTTTACCTTCCACAGAGATAATGCGAAAGTGAAAATTTTATCCGATTTTTGGAAACCTATTCTTGTCTCCGCTTTGAATGAATAATACAACTCATTCCTAAAACCATTTTCACACATGACTTGATCTATGTCTTACTAGAAGAAGTGTAGATGTCCATGATTTTGCAATTAATTTCCTGAACACCAGAAAATAATTTTTTGAAATCGTTTTCAGCCATGCTGCCATTTAATCATAAATATTTGGCAATATGCTTTCATTGCTTTTTTCAAACCTGGATTACATAGTGGTTGTTGATTTTGAGAATACATAAGTAAGATAAACCCACCTTTCTTCCGCTACTGCAACTGTGTCATCTAAAACCACTAAACCAACACTGTCATCCCACTCCTGAAAAATGTGTATTTTGTAAAGACTGAATCTCTATGATATACTCATTATGACTGTGCTTAAAGGGACACTATAGTCACCAGAACAACTACAGCTTATTGTATTTGTTCTGGTGAGTATAATTATTCCATTCAGGTTTTTTGCAGTATACACTGTTTTTTCAGAGAAAATGCAGTGTTTGCATTACAGTCTAGGGATAACTCCACTGGTCACTTGACAGGTGATTGCTAGAGGTGCTTCCTGTGGCAGTGCTGCAAACTGCCATTCAGTGTCTCCACCCTCTGTATGGAGACACTAAACTTTCCTCATAGAGATGCTGATTGGCCAGGGCTGTGGTTGACTTGTGCTGGCTCTGCCCCTGATCTGCCTCCTTGACAGTCTCAGCCAATCAAATGCTTTTCTATGTGAAAGCATTGTGAGTGTCTGAGAGAATCACTTTTGATGATGTCAGCCAAGCAGACAGATCGGGGGCAGAGCCAGCAGCAGTAGACTGGAACAAAAATAAGATTTAACTATGTTTAGGGGGAGCTGGGGGACCAGTGGGGCTAGATAGTGGTTTGAACACTATAGGGTCAGGGATACATGTTTGTGTTCCTGACCCCATAGTGTTCCTTTAAGTTTCACTGAAATTACAACTCAATACAGAGACAAAGTATGGACTACTGTATTTCTCCTCTGTCTGATTTTTCTTGACACAAGGTGTTAATCCCTGCAGCCATCGTCAGTGATGGCTGCAGGGAATTGGCATGCGCGTGGGTACTGCAGTGATGCCAGCGCCGAGGAGGTTCAGGTAATATAACTCACCTTTACTTGCCCCCACCTGGTCCCCAGCAGCGATGTCACTGTCGGCCGAGTTTGTGAAATCAGCAAAGTCCCCAAACGGTGACAGTGCTGTTTAACTCGTCTTATTACAAATACTTGTCTGTTAGTCCACCCATTCTACACCTATTGGTGCTTTATAAATAATAATAAAAATAATTTGTGATTGGCTAAGATTCTGTATGTAAGTGCCCATGGGTGCCTTGTGTTGCTCGCATTGATGATGGAGTTTATTAATGATACTAACATTTGAACCCTCTCTGTAGGTATGTCAAAAGCTGTGATTGTGGCGATGATTCCCTTGGTCATAGGGTTTAGTTTCGTCTCAATTTATCTCATGATTTTTTGCTCCTGCTCAAACATTACGGAGAACAGATTCTGTAAGTCAACCAGTTTTTCATGACTTTTGAATAGAACCATAAAAACAGTGTCATTTCTGATATATTTATACATTTCTAATCTTTTTAAATATTGTGCATCCTCAGTTCTTCATGTTCTAGAACTATCACCTCATGTTCTGAATATCTACATGTTCTTTGCATCGATCTTTGTAATAACCTACATCGCCATCGATATACGTAAGTACGGTCCAGTTAATAAGTTATATATTTTTCTAAAAGTCCTGATCAATTAATTGTGTAAAACTGAAATATAATGTAGAAGATAATTTTTATAGATTTGGCAGCAGATATCTTCAATTTCCAATCATTAGTAATGTTAACAAAGAGACAAAATTAAAAAATGATTTGGAGGTTGAGAAATCTAATGCCTTGTTTCAACTGAGCGGAACGGTTCGGGTCGGTTCGGTACGGTACGCTGTTTTGAGTGTTTCCATTATGAAAGTGGCTCATACAACTGAACCGCACCGCACCATTCTTGGCCCCCCTTCAGATGAAGGTCCATAGGAAATGGTAAGGTATGGTTAGGGCGGAGCTACTAGCGTCACACTATACAATCCATTGATTGGCGGATAGGAAAACGTCAATGCTCACAACAAATGACATGCTAGGCATTTGGTCTACAGCCTGCATGGCCCATGGCGGTCCTACTTGCAGTGGAAACTCTCACCTGAATAGGCTGGACCATTCTAACCCTTCCAAACTGTACCGAACCGTTCCGCCCAGTGGAAACAAGGCATAACATTTTTATGGATAGGGAAGCAATTAAACAGACATGTCTACCACAAAATGTTTACACATTTTAGCTTCCGTAGCCTTTGTAAGATGTAATCCTGGGACAGGTGATTGTCTGTAGATTAGTTGGACATGTGACCCCTTAACTCACTCTAGCTCACTATTTAGTAAATAGGATTCTTGGCTATGACATGAAAAGATACACAAAATCAGTGATGTTAATTTGGTTAGGTAACCTGTAATCACATTTATTCTGGTGTTATTTTTTACAGGGCAAGACTGTGAAGATGTAAACAGGAATGTCCTTGTTTTTTTGTCAATACCCTGTGCGATTATTTTTGTCCTTTTTGTTTTTTTCTTCAGCTGTAAGTAGGTGAAATGTTTTCCTGTTTAACTCAAGACATACAAAACACACAAACATTGATCTGAAAAAGATCCACGTGCTCTACAATATACTTATGTTGGGGTGTAAAACACATACTGTTTTGCTGAACTGCTCTATGTATGCAGATTGTGTGGTCTTTTTTTTTAATTTTGAAAAATGTGGAGATTTCAATAGAAATTTTCATTTTATGAATTAAACTTGTTACACCCTCCTGGCTGTCAATCAGACAACCGGTCCTGTTACTTCCTGGTTGTTTAGCTCAATGGAGCTCAAGAGGCAGGATTTACCCAGAACACCTGCCTTGCAAAGACTTCCCATTGAGCTGCATTGGGAAGTCTGTGAATGGACAGTTACAGAAAGACTTGGCTGGATTAGAAGGAGAGGGCTTGCAAAGGGTGCAAACAAGATCAGCAGCTTTTGTAAGCCGTTTTTAGATATAACCCCAATAATAAAAAAAATAATTAAATACATAATAAATTTGGGCAGCTACATACCAGCAAGCGACTTGGCAAATAGAAAAAAATAACTAAAATATATATATCATGTGCGCTCCACAAATAATTAGAGGAAACAAAAAATGTTCCTCTAAAAAAATATATACTTATAAAAAATACCAGCTAAAACAATGAAAAACAATGACCCCAGATGTAATTAGTAACTCTTAGGTGGGACAAATAACACACTAAATAAACATGTATGGAATTCTAACATTGGTTCATTACATTTACTTCTTAAAAACTGTAACAGTTTCAATTAATACAGAAACAGCATGTTGCAGTCCAAAGGGAAAGTAGATGTGAACACAAAGGGGGTTGAACAACTAAATGTTGCAAATCTTAGTAAAAAAAAAAACAACTTTTATAACATCGCATGTAAATTGTTTTAAATATATTTTTATTTTTACTTTGAAGATGAGCACAGTGCGGATTTATAGTTTGTGGTTGCCTACGCAGAGGCATATGAATCAGAGTGAATGTTCAACAATACAACGTAGTTTTGTACATACTTTGCAGGATTATACATGTCTAGCGCGTTAGTATGCTTGTGACAAATAGTGATACTGCGTAATTACGTGGCCTGCGAGGCTTTAAATGGTGCGTTGTGCTAAGATCATATCAGAAGTCATACAAAATTATTTCAATACATGCAGTTAACAGTGCACATTTGCTTTCGCTAGGCTCAAGTAGTAGTTATAGCAGGTCTATTATAGTTAAGACCTATACTATTTGTAAATATTACCGTGTTATTAGAGGCATTCGTTATAATAATTCGTTATATAATATTATGCAAATAAGCATAAGTATTCAAAATTAGCCTACGCAGAGGCTTAGTACGTTAGTGTATGACCTCCTTTTAGCTGTTTAATTTTGCGTGTGTGCGCTGGTGTGAGGATTGATGAGGGTAATGGTATAGGTTAGTGGAGTATGCGTGGGGATTGGTCCGTCTGTTGTGGCAAGCTGAGCAGAGTCATGGCCTGTGTATAGCTAGTGGGCAAACAGGAATCATCTTCTCGCGAAAGCTAGTGCGGGCATGTGGTTCCCTACATGGGTGTTCCTGCCCTAGGTGAGGTCGTAATGCCAAAACTTAAATGGGAGCCCCCGGACGTGAGGCCTGGGTTTTCATGTGCCGCTCTCATGTAATGTTGGATGATGGATGCACCGGTCGGTTTATAGAGCTGTTAGTACGTTGTGTGATCCATGTTGCCTCCAGTCCGTGAGTGGGTTGTATGTGTTGGCATGTACCGGGGTGGGGG